CAGGCAGATCTCTGTGAGTTCGAGGCCAGCCTGGTCTACAGAGCAAGATCCAGGACAGACACCAAAACTACAGAGAAACCCTGTCTTGAAAAAAACTGGAAAAAAAAAAAAAAGAGCTAATGGGACAAGCTTAAGCTAAGGCTGAGCATTCATAATTAATAATACGTCTTCACATCTTTATTTGGAGGTTGGTTGATAGCCCAAAGAAAATTCCGCTAGTCTAGTCTCCAAGCAGAGGGCCAGCAAGACAGCTCTGTAGGTAAAAATGCTTGCCGTTCAAGCCTGACAGCGTGAGTTCAACTCCTGGACAACACGGTGGAGAGAACCAGCTCCTGAAAGTTGTCTTCTGACCTCCACAAGTGTGCTGTGGTGTGTACCCGTGTGCACATCCTGTGCACACACATAATAACAACAATGAAGCACTATGTACGGTCCCGGGGCTTTGCAGGACTCCAGCACCATCAGAAACGTGAAGGCTGTACTCACGGTGGATACTGTCTTCCTATGTGTATGCCTCCTTTGGTTAGGAGGAGGACAGACTGTTCCTGGGGATGCCTGAAAACACCACAGATTCCATCAGGTGACCTTCGCCTCAGCTCTTGCAGATCTGACCTCTCGTTTGTGGCTACGGATTGAACCAGGGCTGTTTTCGAAGCAGGCAGCAGAAACAGTCGCTGGCTTCCATCTGGCAGACACAGGAGTGTTCATTTTGATATGTCTGTAGATGCATTGCGCCTTTTGCTAGATTTTGGTCTATAAGAACATTTCTGCCGGGCGGTGGTGGCGCATACCTTTAATCCCAGCACTTGGGAGGCAGAGCCAGGTGTATCTCTGTGAGTTCGAGGCCAGCCTGGTCTACAGAGTGAGATCCAGGAAAGGCTCCAAAGCTACACAGAGAAACCCTGTCTCGGAAAAAAATAAATAAATAAATAACATTGCTAAGTTCCTGGCTCACTTTTGGCTTTGGGGAAGATGGGCCAGCAACTTAGAGCAATCTGATCACCTCAGGCATTTGGATTTGGCTAGGGACCTTCCGCCATTCAGAAGAACATGCTCGAGAGGATTTGGCATGTCTATACTTCCTCCATGGCAAACTTTTGATAGGCAGATGACCCTGTCCTCTTGGCCTGGGAGAAATGTAGCCTGTGAAATTATCTGCGCTGATCCATGTACTGGTCTATACCTTATCCAGAGTCATGTCCACATGTAATATAAAACTGTCCCTACATTAGACTTTGTAAACACACACGGGGGGGGGGGGGTTCTGCAGCAAGCCGTTGGACTTGGACAGCAACATCTGATCCCCCAACCTAGGTCTTCCGAATCTTTTCACATAGATTGGACTTTGACACACAGCAAGGTGATGCCTCAAACCCACCCGTATTAGCTACTTTGTGGACCAGTACTGGAATCCTGTCCAGGCTTTCCACACACTAAGAGCCCTGTTGCTCCTCTGATGCTCTGATTACAGCTTCCCTCTCCCCTAATCTTCCCAAGTCTCCCTGTGAACTTCTGGAACTCTTGTCAGCCTTCGGAGTCCTCGGTCATTCCCTGGCCACCTCGTCATTCCAGAATCTTCTGGTGAGTTTCCTATTTTAGTGCCATCCCTCCACCGCACAGGTCAGGTCACTTGGCCACAGTCAGGCTGGACCTCCCTGCTCCACGCAGGGACTTTTGGATCTCTCTGTCTTATTGAAATGTTCTCCATGGACCTGGGATGACAAAAAAGCTGTCTTGTTGGGTGTTCCTTGTGATCCTTCCAGAACTCATCACACCACACCAAACACACACACACACACACACACACACACACACACACACACACACACACATCCTGCAAGACCTTAGATGGGGCCCTCAACCTGCCACTCTGCTTTCCTCTAGGCCCAAGTCGCAGCTTGTGATTTGGCTGCCTGCCCGCCCACCCGTCTGGAAGGTAAAGCCCTCAGAGCGGAGGAAGGATCAGGACTTCATAGACACCCGGTTGTGGGAGGGTAGGTAAGGAAGTGTGCCATGCCCCGGGGAGGAGCGTCTTCTCAGGGAATAATCAGCTGCCAGCCCTGCCATGAACCCCACCAAGACCGACTTCCAGCACCGTCTGGCTTAAGAATCTCGCCTGCTCTCTCCCATGAGTCTGGCACATCGTTCCACAAATGAAGATTCCTAAATGGTAAGTGGTTAAGTTGCAGATTATATATTTTGAGCTGAAATGTTTATTTCCTGCCCCACCCTACCCCAGTCAGTGCTCTTCTGTTGGAACCAACTGCCTGGCTGGCTGCTCCGCTTCCTCAGGATCACCTGAGCAGAGAGTGGAGGTGACTTCGGTGTGGACAGGGGGAGGCAGGGAGCCTTTGTGAATGCCCTAGTTCCTTTCCATCTGGCTAGGGAGGATTATAGAACACTCTCCTAATGCGATTTTGTTTTATCCTAGGGAAGTCATGTGAAGGAAAAAAACAATGAAAATTGACATTCCGTTTTATTTTGTATGCTTTTGCCAACACGTTCTGTTGAAAAATAAAACAAAACAAAACAACGGTCTGGTCCACGATTGCATGCTTTTTGTTTGTTCTGTTTTGTTTAGACAGAGATGTGTTTGAAAGCTCAGTCTTGGTTTACACATTCTGACTGGGTATAACCCTTGGGATTTGAGATAGTTCTCATCCCATCATGCAAACTATAGAGTGTGTGATCTCTTATCTTGTGGTTAGTTTCCACATTGTGGAGAATTCTGGTCAAACCATTGCTCTTCAGTGGTAAGTGCTTGCTTGAACAGTCTGTCACAGTGAGTGAACAAAACCCAAGATTCTTGGGTAGGAACCAAGAGCAGATCGGTGTGCAAGAAAGTTCTAGAAGGTGTGTGTGAAGTATAAGAACTAATGTTACAACCCCGGACTTGACCACACCATACCAGTGCAGCTGAGGATCTTGCTCAGGCTCTCCTGGGTCCTAGAACCCGCTCATCTGAATTCTGCATTCATTACTGACTTAATTTCCTATGTAAGGAAGTTCCTATTAATTTCCTGTGTATGAAGTTCTCCCACATAATCATGAAGTCACAAACTGTACCTTGCTAAGTCTTGAACACTTTAGAAACTTCTCTAAGGCTTGTCAGATTTAGAACTCACTCTTTTGACCAAGGATATGTTTGGCCTGTGGTCTGTGGGTGATGCATCCTTGCTGTGATGGACAGTTCCTTTGTATAAATGACATTATTTATTTACCCAATGTGCTGGCTAGTTATATGTCAACTTGTCACAAACTAGAGTCATCTGGTGGGAGGGAACCTCAACTGAGAAAATCCCTCCATAATTTCTGGCTATAGGCATTTTCTTAAGTAGTGATTGATAGGGGAGGAGCCAGCCTATTGTGGGCAGATGGTTCTGGGTTTCTATCAGAAACCAGGCCAAATAAACCCTTTCCTCCCCAACTTGCTTTGGTCATGGTGTTTCATCACAGCAATGGTAACCCTAACTAAGACACCTATTTAGGATTTTTTTCTCCTTTTTCTCATGTACTATAATATTATCTCACTACTATTTACACATGTAATTGTATACATATGCAGCGATCATTCTATATGACTACTCATAAGCTGTAGACATCCTCTGTGTACAGACTGCACTCTATGAAAGAGCTATGAATTGATTACGTTTTTACAGTTTCATTGGAAATCAGACACTTGAAAGGCAGCGCTCCTGCTCAGCTCCTCGCTCAGCCTCCTTCCATGACTTCCTTTAGCTGTAAACTGTCCTTTAAATGACATTTCTCCCTCCTGCCGCACCACCTAGGTGTCTCAGTCCCCCGTTAAACCTTGACGACACCAAACGTCAATTCACGTCAAATGTCGCTTAATAGGAAGCCTTTTTCAGAACAACGGTATTCATCAAGTGCTTTTCCCGGCGCCGTCCCCGATTTCAGTTGGAAAAGCGTGCCCCTCTTTAGGGCGCTCCCTTGCAAAATAGCAATGTTCTGACTGCCTCACATCTGTCATGAGGAGCCAGCCTTGAAGAAGGGTCCCCAGCCCTTTGTGATGAACAGAATGTTCTATAAATGGGCACTGAAAAATAATCAAGACATTCAGGGATCCAACAGGCCACGGAAACTCCATAGCAACAAATGAGCAGTAATTGCTACCGGCCAGCTATTTCTGCAGCTGTGCTCTGGGCTTTCACAAGCGAGGAGCTCCCTGTCTTCGTTAACCCAGGTCAGGAATGGCTGCAGGGCGTGCAGCCAGGCAGGGCCAGGAGGGGGTGAAGATGCGCTCCCTGTGCTCTCTGTTTCCCGGCACCTTTGCAGAGGCCCGGGCCAGAGATGCCCTGGCCCTGGTTATCCTGCGCCCCAGGCCAGGTTCTCCAAGTTTCTCAACAACAGTTTTTTCCTCCAGGAAACCATGCCTCTTCTACCAGCATCCATACCTCTGTGGACATGGCTTGGAACTCTGCAGGAAGCCAGGCTTGGAAGGAATAATAAGGACCAAGTCCATCATCGCCTCACTCCATCCTTGGAAACAGTCACAGTCTCCTGGTCAGGAATGTGTGCGAACTGCAAAATGTTCTTTTTCCCAGTTGTTCTTGGAAGTGCTCACAGGCAGATGTGGTCCCACCCCACTTGCCCTTGTTACACAGAGACTGACTAGAAGAGCTCACAGGACCTGTTGCATTCGACAGGAGCTGGAGATGCAGCTCCCAGTAGCAAACTCGGGGACACCTGACCGTTGTCAGTGTGAGAAAGAGGTGGCTGTCCCTTTCTTGTATAATGACCTTGCCCTGCTCCACCATGTCCCTACACCATAGAAAATTGCAGACACCATCCTGCCAAGTGTCCCAAATGGGGCCTTCCGCTCGGTAGGAGACAGAGTGGGTGGGAGGGGACCTTCCCTCAGTTCTTTGCTTCCCAGAGCTGGCAGCTGATGTCATTACATGTCTCCTAAGCTAGCCAGGCCTCTGTCTCAGCAGACTTTTGGAGAGACTTTAGGAAACTAGTTCCCACAAGCAGTGTTTTCAGAACTTCGCTTTTCTTTGCCCTCACCACTGTCATGGGGGTAATCTCTATGCTAGAAAGTGGCTTGTGGCCCGCACCAAATCCAGTTTGTTTCCATAGTTACAAGATACCAGTCCTTTCCCCCAACTCACACTGGGTCGGGAGGGATAGGCTGACTACAGGTAGCTCTATTTCCCCCACAGGTGCAGATCCCCTTAACCACGCCCAGATGACCACGTACACTAGTTGGCAATCCTAATCTTGATTTAAGTATCTCCCAGGAAGCACAGTAAAGGACATGTACACTATAAATGACAAGTGCCAAAGCGCAGCCCCCGGGAATGGGAATACTGGGGAGAGGCCAGGATGCAGCAGACTGTCACCATTATGCTTGACTGTGACCTCACAGGCTCATGTGTTGGAATACTTTGTTCCCAGATGGTGGTCCGGTTTTGAAGATCATCGAACCTTTAAGAGGTAAAGTCTCATAGTGGAAAGGGGGTTCTAGGGCAGGGCTTTGAGGTTTGGTAGCTCAGCCCCACTTCCTGTCTGCTTTCTGCTTCCTGACGGTAGGCACAATGTGACCCGCTCCCTCACACAGATGCGGCCTTGCCTACTCTGCCGTGATGGACTCTGTCCCTTCCTTCTTAGACTGTAAGCCCGAATAAACTCTTGTGGTCAAGCATTTAGTCCCAGCAATAAGAAAGGAAGTCGATGCCCTCAGCTTTGACCGTACTGCCCTGGGAACGTTCTCTTGCCCAGGCTGTTTGTGAGCCCAGCTCACTGGCTGGTGGAAGTCTGCCAGGGTTCATATACCAAAATGATATATTGGCCCTGATAGCCCTGGACATAGCCTTTTCCTCAGGAACTGTGTACATATCTGTGCCGTTTTACCTGTAGCTCCCTTATCCACAAAAGAAGTAACTGCAGCTTTGCAGCGAAGATTGAGTGCCCGAGATAAGGGATTTAGTATAGCACACTCTGTGCGCATAGTAACAGATAGCTGCCATTCCTGCACCATTATCTCAAAAGCCGTGAAAACTGCAGTACAAATCAACGAGAATTATGTCCGCATGCTGGAGGAAGGCAGTGGAATTTATGCCTCTCGGTGAATTTACGGTGGTGGCATAGTACTTGAGGTATGAAAAGCTCAGAGCCTTGAACATAAACTGATGTATTTGTCCCACTCAATGAGACACTGTTCTGCTTGAGGTCACACGTCAGGGTCCTGGAGCCCCAGCTCATGGGCACCAAAACCAGTGTTGGTGCCGCGTCACGGTGAACACGGAACCTTGGGCAGCGTACGCCAGGTTTAGTCCATGAGTCTAAATTCTTATCAGGAAGGTACAGTGATCATGTACACCCCCTTGGTCAGTAAGAGACATTTTTAAAAGGCCTGGGTAGATGTCTGCTATCTAGGGAGCATCTCTACCAGGCTGAGGCGATGCCCACAGAAAACAACCATCTTTTTCTCTGCTCTCGCTTACCCATGAGACTGCATTGTGAGTGGGTTCTATCCTGGGGCTAAGCAGCTAATGCTGGTCCTTGTATTGATGAATCTTCATTGTTAACTTGGCAAGACTTAGAATCACCACGGAAACACATCTCCGGGAACTGTCTACGAGGTTGTTTCCAGGTGGCACCTTCTCATTAAGTCCTCACAGGATGGAAGGTCTTCCCAGCCTTCTAAGTATGCTGATGTCAATTGTGGGTGCTCTAGACTGGTGACCTGAGTGTCCCTGCCCTAATGTATCAAGATGAGCACGTGTCTCATCAAATAGGAACTCCAGAAGACACTGACATCAGACCACGTGTGACAGTCACATTGACTGTTGAGTTGACAGACTCTAGAGTCACCTGAGAGATGACCCTCTAGGCACATACATGAGAGTTTGTAGACTGAGTTAACCGAGGCAGGAAGGAAGACCCACAGCTGTGGCCAATACCATCCAATGGACAGTCTTGGCTGCAAAATGGAGGTGGCTGGGCTGAAGAGAGGCGTCTCTAGGGACTGTGACAGATGGAAGGAGAGCTGTCCCCTGACTACATATGTAGAAATAGTAATGATGATCATTAGGAGTTTAAATGAAGTCACATAAGATGGCTAAGTGGGTTAAGGTGCTTGTCACCAAGCCTGGTAACCTGAGTTCAAGCCCCAGAACCCACAGTGGACAGAGAGAACTGACTCTCATGGTTGGTCTCTGACCTCCACATATGCAGTGTGGCTCTCCTACACACACACACACACACACACACACACACACACACACACACTATATATATATATATATATATATATATATATATATATATATATATTTTAAAGAAGCTGAGGGGCAGCATTCACCTTTCTTGTCCTCCTGATTGTAGCTACAATGTGACCAGCTGTCTCCTGGATGCAGTCCTTCCTTACAATAAAGAACTGTACCCTCAAACTGTGAGCCACTGTACCTCAAACTATGAAGAATAAAAGTTAAGCCCTTCCTCCTTTAGTCTCTTTTATCAGATATCCCACAACAGGACGAGAGAAGTGACTGATAACCCCACACTGGGCTGGTCACTTGCCTGTCTGTGCTGTCATTGTCTGTCATCCGGAGGGCAGTGGCCACAGAGCTCAAAGTCAAATCGAGACAGTATCACTGGCTTACAGACAGTACCCGGTAAGTATTATTCCCATGGAGCCCACATGTGGTCCCCAGAAGGTCAGCTTTGGTCATACACACACACACACACACACACACACACACACACACACACACACACACACACACTCTTGGTCATCCACAAATGAGGACAGACTGTCTCATAACAGATAGCGTGTGAACATCATGTAGTCGATGGGATGAAACTAAGAGAAGACCATGTGTGCCAGACTCTCGGTGCTTCCCCATGAAGGCTGTGTCTCTCAATCCTTCCTCGTGGACCATCTTGACCCCTCCATCCTCTTACAAGTGTCTGCAGGGAGGTGTGGTTCTTGCCTGTTTGCAGCTACCCTGTTAATGGAGAATGTTGGAATGCGCTCATCCTAAATCTACTTTATAACTTTCGATGCTGCTCATCTGGTGCCTCTAACTTCTGTAAAAGGAAAAGAATTTAGGTTCTGGCAGAGACCGTGCTCAGTTGCCGATGGCACCGAGACCTTCATGTGAGGAGATCTGTTCACTCCTTTCCATAAATGCCTTTCGCAAGACCCTTGCTTGTCATACCAGGATGACATTCCTCAAAAGAAATGCTGTTGTCCACATCACATGAGAGCACACGATTCCCAACACCTCTGAGCCCCTTCATGGCCCAGCCCTACAGAGCAATGTCTACTTTGGAAGCAGAAGGGAGTTTGAGCTGGCTGGTGGTTCCAGGCGAGGAAGCTATCATTAGCTTTAGCTGCGTAAATCAGCATGTCCCTTCAGTAATGACAAGCACACTTGCTGCTCTAGGTGATTTTTTCCATATAGAGTCACCTAAACCGCACAGCCACTCTGGGAAGCATGGACTATGCTGATTGGCTGTGTTAGCAAACTGTGGGGTGGGGAGGGATGCCCCAGCTGAAGTCCCGCAATGTGAGGTGTCAGCGTTGATGGACGAGACGTATCCTAAGTATGGCCTTGCTCACCAGCACTGTACTGCCGGTGCCCTAGGGAGGTCCTGGCTTCAGTCCAGCCCTGGCTGGGAAAGTCCTGACATCAAATGAGTATACCAGCTAAGGACAGTTTGGAATAAGTTAAACATTCAATAGTCCCTTATCAATGGGACATAAACATCTACGTTTCAGAAAGAAAACTAAAACACTTTTAGATACAAGAAAGGTCGTGCCTTTCTTCAAACAATGATATCCATCCAGATAAGGACGCAAAGTCCTGGGTTACACAGCCCAGCCTGTTACTCCTTCTACAGAAGCCTGATCCCTTTAAACCCCACTGGGAACCATAAGCTGTTTTCCTTCCTCATCTGCTCACTTTACAATCTATTTCTCAAGTAACTGATTATATGTTGGACATAAATGTGAGATATTTACTTTAAAATGTGACTGCGTACTCCGGCTGACGCGTTTACTATCAGGGAGATTGAATTATTTTTAGGGCTGCTGTTTTGAAATGTCTGTTGTGTGTTGAACTTACACTGAGTTTCCTGTCCTGTCAAGCACTCTGTCAAGTGTGCGGCGGTAGAAACTGGCTCAAGCCTGTTCCTGCTTCTAGGATAGGAGTTTTTCTGCATACACTGGCAACGGATGGGGATGGAGTGGGCCACACCTCTCCCGCCAGCTTTTCCCCTGCTTGCTGAGAAGCGTGTTCTTGCTGTTTTGGTCACACAAATGGCATGCTAACAATGCTGGGACTGAGTCTACAGTGAGCAAACAAGGAATGGTATACAGCAACAAGTTTGCATTTGCGTTTTCATGTGGGTGAGTGAGTGCGTGCGTGTGTGCGTGTTTATGTGAGTGTGTGTGAATCAGCTCTTTCAAATAGCTTTCAAAGCAGTTTTAAGCAGCAGGACTGAGCCTTCCCTTTGATTCAGAAGATGAGGCGCCCCCTTCTCCCTTCTGAGCTTTCTCCTGTATCCCCAGGGCTCTTTGCTTAACACTGGCTGCTGGTTATTGTCCCTGTGCCGGGGTTGGAACACTAAATTCAGGGCACACAGTGTCCGAGTCTGGCTCTTTCCCTCCAAGGCAGCCATCATTGCACTGGGAGGGCCAGGCTGTGAACTTCTGAGATGGGAAACGGGGGAACTGAAATCCAGTCCTACAGAGAGGAGCCCAGCTGGGGCAGGAAGTGACTGCTGTAGCCAGTGGGCTCTGGGAGCCTTGAAGTAGTACAGGAAACGGAACCTGGGCACTGTACTCAGTCCTTTCCCAGTGAGGCTGGGAGGCCAGAGCCATCTAGAAGGCTGCATGAAGCAGACAGTGTTCCCTGGAAAGAAATGTTTAAGCTTTGCTCAACAAAACACTATATATATTATGGGGACTCCATCCTTTCCACTTCCCCCCACCCCAACCCCCGCCCACCACAGCCATTTGAACAGATCAGGCCCGAATAATCTAATGATCATAAAACTTTTTCACTGTAATGAGAAATTCGGTCCTTCCTTTGAGAGGCAGAAATTCCTATACGTTCTTGGCAGGTACTGTGACGACAGGACACACCAAGACCCAGGGAATAACCCCTAGCCGCTGAGTCAAACAAACCTCGGGAAAGCAGGGCCATTAACAGGACAGAGCAAGACAGGGGAGATTAAGGTTGAGGGCACCATCTCGGAGAAGTCTATTTATAGACACCACTGAGGAGGAGGTAGAGAAAACCTTTTTTGGTAAATGTGCCTCGGCTCCCAGGAGCAGCTGCCTGGATGCTGTGTGAACTGCTGCACAGCCTGACGGTTGGGCTGACCCCGGACCACCAGAGAGCACATTGGTCACCAGGATTTCCTTCAAAGTATCACAGCAACCGAGCAGAGCTGGGTATAAACAACCTGATACTTAAGGGAATACATATAGGACGTTTAACTATACATCTCTTGGGGGTGGACAAGTCAGTAATGTGTGCAAGAACAAGGACCTGAGATCTGATCTTCAGCACCCATGTACGTAAGCAGCTGGGCCTGTGACCATACACCGGCCATCCCAGCACTGGGGGAGACAGAGACAGGAGGATCATGGAGTCTCACCAGCCACCCCATCTAGCTGAAGTAGTGAGCTCCAGGGTCAGTGAGAGACATGTCTCAAAAACAAGGTGGACAGTGACAGAGGAAGACTCCTCTGCCCTTCATGAGCACCTGCGCACATGTATGTGCTCACACACAACTAAAGGAGAAAAAGAGAAAGAATGTCAAGTCCTTTGGGAAAGGAGACACACGCTCTACTTACCACGTTTATCCCCTTTCCCCCTAACGCTCTAGAAAATAGTTTCAAAGGAATTGTTCACAATAATATGGAGAGTGGGAGGAAAGAGAATTGGTGAGCTCTCTCAGGAAGTGCATGGCAGACAGGGAGAGGTAGAAAAGCATGTCCACAGGGGGATGCCAAAGAAGAGACTCCAGTGAGGGGGCCCCCTTTCACTATCCCCGCATGTTGAGGACAGCCGCTCTGACTTCTCCATCTTATGGGGACCAGAGGTTTTATTCAGAGGGGAATATGGTAGTAGGTGCTCTGGCTGAGGGAACCAGGAGCCACCACCAAAGGGAGACTGGGAGAAAGGGGCAGTAAAAAGTCTCCTTGTCCCTCAGGAAGAGGACAGCGAGCGAACCAGGAGCGTGACCCTTCCACAGCAGAGCCACACGGGGCTCACACGGCCAACAGCCCCCGCTGGGATGTAGCAGTCTGGGTGGCAGGGCCTCGGTTGTTAGTGAGAGGGCAGACGAGCACTTCTAGACACATGACGGAAAACAGAAACAAAGGTAAAGCTAGAAGGACTCTGGACAAGCGAAGAACACACCTCTGCAGTGTTTAAAATCCATAGGCAGATGAACAAATGTTACATTTGTAAAACAGGAACAGAATGGATGCATTCAGAATAAGTAAAATGCTCTTATCTTAGAATTTGTATAAACCATAACTGAAGTAAGATAAAAAAAAAAAAAATCTCCATGAAAGAAGCCGGGCAGGGATGTTGCACGCCTTTAATCCTAGCACTCAGGAGGCAGAAGCAGGTGGATCTCTGAGTTCGAGGTCAGCTTGGTCTACAAAGCGAGTTCCAGGACAGCCAGGATCACACAGAGAAACCCTGTCATAAAAAAACAAAAACAAAAACAAAATACCTCAAAACAGAACAAAACAAAAATCTCTATGAAGGAGTCAAAGAGTGAAATCAAGGAAAATTCTTAGGTCTAAAAGACACAAATGCCCAAATGTCACAGATCTGCCAAATATCAGGAGAAGGAAAAGAAAACGGGCCCCTCCCTTCCCTGAGCTATTGACAGTTGGTGGTCCCTGAGGAAGGAAAGACATTTTCTTTAGTAGTAGAGCCACTGGTAAGTTGCCTGTGCCCTTGAAAATAATTTCTTACCCCACACGAGCTTTTAAAGCAACCAAGATTAAACTCATTCTCATTCTCTCTCTCTCTCTCCCTCTCTCTCTCTCTCTCTCTCTCTCTCTCTCTCTCT